GCAGTAGCTCCTCCTCTTTATGATCATGTGACGCAGGTCAAACACTTGCTCACAGCAGTGGGAGGACACTCATGTGTTCTCACCTTGTAAAGCATTGAGTGTAACAAAGATCCCAGACAGAAGAAGTCAGACATCAAGAGATTTCTATTCTATTTCTATTCATTTTGTTTTTACTGAAAGAGCCTGACAGAGCACAAGGAATATTTTGTATCTTTTAAACTGGTGACCAAGAACTGACTATAAAAGGAACATATAATGACAGATGAGCTGACGGTAGGCGATAAAATGATGGAAATATGGAAGAGAGGAGACTCAAAAAAAGAGTTATCCCAAATAGATAAAGGAATGGAATCTCAGCCGAGGAATAAAATACCGCATTCAATTGAAGAAATTCTGAAAAGGCCCTCATGTGTCAGAAAAGAGAATGAAGTACATCGGAACTGGTCTGTCATCAGAGAAAACAGCCAAGTATATAACCAGCATCCATGTACAGGTATGTTTTTTAGCCTTACTGTAAAAAATATTGGTTCAAATATTGTCAGAACGTGTGTGTTCTCCTTTTGATGTTGAAATTTTCACTCTGTCAATAGAAACTCAGAATATGGGACTACATGAAGAGGCTCCAAAAGCTGCAGGAGACTGCAAGAGTGCGTAATACATTTATATATGAGTAGAAAAATCGATTAAAAGGATGATTCAAGAATGAATCAGTTTGAAATTGAACCACTTCTTTACTATCATATGTTTCAAACTGTCTGCTCACAGGTCAAAGAAGAAAGAGGCAAACCAGGGTCACTTTTACACCATTCCAGGTGCAGGAGCTCGAGAAGGTTTTCCAGCAAACCCATTATCCAGATATTAGCACCAGAGACCAGTTAGCCTCTCGCCTGCAGCTGACAGAGAGCCGAATACAGGTGGGATACACGTTGTTTGGTTTGGTTTTATTTTCAACTTAAAATAGTGAGATTTTTAATACTGGCCACATAAACAGAGTAATATTATTATTGGCGCTACGTTGGTATCAGTGACTACTTTGTTATGTCCATTTGATCAAATCAGCAAGCTCCAAACACCCCAACTGTCTGACTGATTGCACTAACGAGTCCATCCATCCATTCTCTTCAGCTTATCCTTATCAGGGTCGCGGGGTGGCTGGAGCCTGTCCCGGGTGTTTCAGGGTGAGAGGCGATGTACACCCTGGTCCAAATTCATGGGCTGCATCCTCCAGAGGCCGCATTTGTAGACCGATTACGTCACAGCGACGCGCCGAAGGCTGTTCAAATTCGTAGACTCCCCCGAATACAGCCGACAAATGCGCCCTCTTTTCCCCGAAGTTGAAGGACTCCAGTTTCCAACAATGGCGGCCGCTACCAAGTTTTAAAATTACTCTTACTAATCTTTCTGGGTCACAAAATAAACTTTTAACACATTTTCAGGCGAGAAAGTAGCTGTGTAAACATCAAATATCTGCTTGGTTTATCAAGATATCCCATATTTGCAAAAATGCTTCGACGTTTTCGGAGACGTCTGCCACCCACCAGCTCGACAGCTAGCCTGGAGCTCGAGGGTTACTGATGCGGCCGAGAACGGCACAACTCCCGGCACATCATTTTCACATCACCGCGGAGTTTCGCTGCTCGGGTTAAACGTAATATATAAGTCACTTAGACAACCTAAAAATGTTATTGTTTGGCTTTTTTCAGTGTTTTGTTTGTTCGTGAGTAAATCGGCTTGGCGGAGATTAAAGTTGTTAAATTAGATAAAATAAAACTTTATTAATCCCCCGGGTGGGTTCCTCCTTGGTTTTTACACAGCTGACTAAACGCCAAATAGAACACTGATTAAACAGAAGTATGAGACGGTCGAGAATTTACGCCAGTGTCCTGTTATATTTTAGATAGCGAGGACCAGACGGCTGAGACAGCGGTGACGCTAATCAGAAGGCTAGACCGTCCAATTTCCCCAGCCGTTTACTTCCGGCCTACCCGACCTTCTGAGGACCCGCCCACGTAGACCGCGAAGCCCGGGTCCTCAGGAGGATGCAGCCCATGAATTTGGACACGACCATCGGCACTCACAGTCACACCTGTGGGCGACTCATCAGTTAACCTAATCCCAGTAACTGTGTGTCTTTGCACATTAGTGCAGAGACAATAATGGTCTTTGGACAGAATTCTTGCACAAGCCAAAACCTCAAATGATTAATGATAAGGTGAGACGGGATAGGAGCACACATTTAAAATCATTAGCTCCAAACTGCAACACTGTTTAGGGGTTTTTATAAAAATGTTTTGAATCATTGTTAGTTTTAGACTCCTTTTATTGTGAACTGGTTCATTGTAGGTAAATTAACTGCATTAACATTTCTTCATGCTTGTATTAGTATTATTGAAGTTTAGTTAATTTTTCTAAATAAATGGTCATTGTGTGTGTTGTTCAGATTTGGTTCCAAAACCGCAGGGCCAAATGGAGGAAGGTTGAAACACTCAGAGACATAGAGCTGATCAGCAGGCAGCGCTTACTTTCGACCAATCTTCACCGGCTTTATTATGAGGTAATTTGACATATATTTTTGTAAAATGTGTATTTATTATTCTCACATGTTCTGTTATAAGGCTTCCCTCATATTCCCAACGCAGCTCGAAGTTCTTTACAATTAAGAAATAAAGCACACAGCTTAGACATATTTAAACAATAAAATGTTTATGATATTATAAAGTCTTTGAATACAGCGTGACTTTCTTAGTAACTGAGCCATTGATGAGGTTCATAAGTAGAATATCTTGGTTATTCCTGTGAGATAAACATCTTTCTCTGCTCTCACAGAAGCCCCAGCTGCAAGCAATGTGCTGCCTGCCCTGCTGTTTACCAAAACCTCTTCAATCAAGGCTGTATTTCAGCTCATCAACAACACCGGTTGTGCTGACCGCCGCACATTCTCCTGGTCACAGGACTCTCTATGTTGACATGCTGGGAACATAACGATAGCACCTTCACCAATTCTGCATAACACTTTTTTTTTTTACATTGTTTTTAATTACACGAGGCAAAGAAAAAAGTTTGAGATGATACTCAAACGTAAACACGAATCTGTAAAATACTGTAGCCGTATATTTTGCTTTTAATGTGTCACACTGTGTGAAGCTGAAATAAAGGCACTGATCTTTTTTTTTTATCTCAATAAAGCTGATTGCTTCAAACGTCCTGATGTCTTTCTTTGAAATAAAAGTCCTCGTGATTAGTCTGTACTGATGTATTTGTACAGATCAAGGTTTGAGGGCGTCCTGTACCGTGATATACTTCTTGGTAGAGAGAGCCGTGTCACCGCACTGTTACTGTGCAGCAAAGCATTTGGCTGTGTTTTTTTTCATGACACGATTTTTCCTTGTCACAGATAAGATACAGCTTTGCCATGACCTGTTCATCTGTTTGACTTTCTGACAACCTCTCCTTATCTTAATTTGGGCTTGTAACTTGAGGTTATTGGCAGGTCAGATTTAGACAACATGTGGGATCAAAGGAGAAATACAGGGTGAGTCATTACTGTATATTGGGGCTATAGAGCTATATAAATAATTGTGTTCTAGGCGAACTTAAAGAGTGAAAAGTTTTGATTCATTCTTGTTCCTTTGCCGAGCAAATGTTACATATTTATATTAAGTATTGTTCGTGGCCTTGCTTTAATGACTTGTGCTCACCAGTCACCTTGAAACCTGCTGCGTGCAACAATTCCAGGTTTTTCTGAGAAGTGTTACATAGGCCAGTTCCCAAATAATTACCAATTATAAGAGAGATAACACAGCGTCGCCTTCGCTATCAATTCAATAATTTACTTGACAGGGTCATAACTGATTACATTTAACAGGGCTCTGAGTATGGCTAAACTTTTCACCCTGGCCTTATCTTACTTTATTGCATGTGTTTGCTGTAAGATAAACCACACTGGTGGCTGAATGGGAGGGATTACAGTAAGGGGACAAAAATAGTTGTTGGAAAGAGAAAAAACAACAACCTTGAGAACCTCATAATTGTACTTTTATTGGATTTTGTTATTGTAATTCCAAACTGGCATCTTACATTTCCTAAAAGGCTGAAATAATTCCTGGGAAACCTTAGTTACTGATACCAGACAGGTTATCTTATGGCAAATAGCTGTTGCAATGTTTTACATCGAATGTTAGTTTATTGTTCACATTTGATCTTAATTTATTATTTTATACTTTGTCACTATTTTTCCATTAAACTTTTATTGTCTCAGTTAGAAAGGATCCACATAGATTAGCTGTACCTGCTTACTTTGAGAGTAAGATCGTTTCCATATAGTTCGGAGACTTTACTGGTCACGAGTGCCATAAAGGAATCAACACAGGAAGAGATTACCCAATACAGGGTTGTACACCATTTTCTTTTCACCTTAAATATATCGCAGTCTTTGCAACTGTAAGAAAAACTTCTTTCACTAAGGCACTAACTTGCATCAGGACCCCTGTCTGGTATAAAAAGCATATTGATGTCAGTAAAAACAATTTTTTAAACGCAATGGACACAAATAACTTTTATGGTATAAACACAACCTGAGAGTGATATTAAACACTAAATTATATATATATATATTAGTGTTTCCTGTTATATCTGCAGTGAGACTTTACTATACGTATACAAGTAGTCTGATTAAACTTTTTATTAGATTATAAAAATCCACATTGATTATATGACATAAAAGCTTATAAATTGCACCTACCTGGTTGATAAAGATTTCAAAATTCACCAGTTTTTGGTTTAATTTTTTCATATACGAATTTATTATTATTTATTTCCTTAAGAAAACGTAATGTAATCATTAAAACATTTAAAAAGCAGAAGGCATCCGTTTACTCAGTAACATTTACATGTTTGCAGACGCTCAGATGGGAAGCAATACACCAGAGTAACCGACAGATGGCGCCCCTGCACCCATGAATAAGCGAAATTGATGCTCTCATTTTTGCTGTGTGTCAAACAGAAGACACCACTGACCTGATTTTATTCTGTCATTTATTTAAAGCTTTTTTTTTTTATCAGCTGTTGAATGTCGTTCAGAATACTGAAGCGCTAAAACAGATTTATTTTTGTTGTTGTTGTTTTTACTTTGTGCTTCGTTTCCAGTCTGCAGCTGGCTCTCAGTGGAGAGGAGGGGTGGGGGGCGGATATTCATCATCTCGCAGCCTCCGCCCGCCTATCTGGCTCATCTGCCTCTGTCCAAAGCGGTGGAGAGACGGGGGGAACCGCAGACAGACAGGGGGACATAAAGCTTTTAGTCGAAGCGAAAGCGAGAGAGAGGGGCGATGGCCGCTGGTGCAGGATGCGGGGAATCGGTGGATCAGTACCGCGCCGAGGTGGAGCGGCTCGCCCAGGAACTGGCCGAGGCGAACCGGGAAAAGATCAGGGCTGCGGAGTGCGGTTTAGCTGTCCTGGAGGAGAATCAGGCGCTGAAGCAGAAGTATACAGAGCTAGAGACCGAACAAGAGATCCTCAGGAAGGAGTTGGAGCAGTTACAAGAGGTAAGAGGAGAGGATGGGGCAGTGATTCTATTTATTTATTTGTTTTCATTCTGTAGGGAGGGGAAAGCACTGCAGTCAGGTGTGTGACTCGCTTGCACCTCAATTGAGTGACGCTCAGCGGGTATCTATAAACCTGTTTGACGCCCAGAGGCAGAGTGGGGGCGGCAATTTATCAGGGCTTTCAAAAAGAGCAATAGTTTAATGCAACTTAAATATGATGCAATTGAAGATCCTCCAGCTGGAAAATGTGCAACACTGTATGAATAAATTGCTTTATGAATAAATTATAATGTAAAATGCTGTTTGTGCAGTGGGTATATCGAGCAGCACTGAGCATTACAGTGTCGGAATTGCAAGCACACAGTAACAGTCCACTTCAGCTCCCACAACAGGGAGTTTCTTTGTTTTCCATAGTAAGAAGAGTCATTAGGGAATTTCAGGGACTCTTTTAGGACCTTTTATTTTTTTTGCTTAGATGTTTCTTGAGGGTATTTCACTGCAGGCCATATGGTGCTTCAATAATCAACTGGTCTGAATTATAAGAGATAAAATCACATCAAAACATGTCGTTAAAATTCAAGATCTTTTAAGGTAGGTGTCGACCTGGCTAATGACTGCAGGGTGTCGAGTTACTCAGCGCATACATGTAGCAAGAGGCAGATGCTGACAGGGCTCCCTGGTCCAAGGTCGCCTATGGAAATTGCTGACCATTGGAAGAAGGAGTTGAAGGCTGGTTACACTGGTGCGGTGAGTGCTTGTGAGTGTCCGTGGCATCGAGATAGGCCCCGTCATTATTTACATGGAGTCATCTATTATCACTTGAACATCAGTTGCTTTGGTCGAACATTTAAGTCATCGAGTCACAAGAAAGCTGCTTGAGAAACTATTAAGATGATGTGTTTCTTCTGTTAGGCTGTCAAATAACTTTTAATACCCTGTTTATTTTTTCTGAAAGCAAATAATAGAGGACTTTCAGAATGCATCATGTGTTACAGGTGATCTTTTTGATATGTTAAGGGTGTTAGCTAAACCTTTCAAAGATAGCCAACAGCCCTGGTCAAAGTAATTCTCTGAATTATTCTTTTTATTGTTTCAGTTTTTCACATAAGAATCATTTTGATTCTGGTTCACGTGTAGAACATTTGAAATAAACCTCTAAAAGTCCACATTCATCCTACACATCAGTGACTCTTTCTTGTGCAACTAGCTCACCAAATATAGCCAAATAAAAAAGAATCCACACAGTACATTAAGCATCACTTATCACATTACATTTTGCATGCTTAATTGTATTTATACTTTGTTCCTCGTACCCTTTTATTCCACTGCTTAGCTTAACATTTCGGTTTGACACGCATGCAGAATCTGAACGATCTTAGTGCAGATAACAGCACAGCAAGAAAGCTGAGGAGACAGCGTGATACAGCCAGCAGCTCAGCAGTGTCAAGCTGATAACTCACACTTATGGATTACAGAGGGATGGGTATTATGATGGACTATGGTGAGAATATGTTGAGAAAGAAAAGATAATGGAGAAGAAATATAAAGACATGGCCGTGTTTTAAGAGGGGAGACGATTATAAGACTAAAGCATACTGGAAGAACTGACTTTGTGAGAGGAAGTTGCCTCTAAAAAATAAATTAAGCACGTCAACTGCTTTTAAGCAGTAGTGTAGGCAGCTGCTCGTACATTATTCATCCTTTTAGTTTTCACATTTGTAGTAAAACTTTGATTTTAACTGAAAAAGAACATCAGGTCAGCAAAAAACCACCAACCATTCCTCAGTGTTGTGGTCGGCTCACATCTGCTTGCCTGTATGATTGACCTCTCGCTTGACAGAGGCAACATTTTCTGTATGTGATATTGCTTCAGCAGAAAAAAACCCCACCTCTGGGATCCTGTGTGTCTGCTGCACACTTCTATGAATAAGAGACCAAATGGCAGAGTGCAAACCTGCCACTTCAATAACATCACATCTGCTCTCCCCGTACTCGGGAGAGGTGCAAAATAAAAGGTGCAGAAATTCCAGATAGAAACTGAAATTGCTTCTGGGATTAAGTGGAATAGAATATATAATTACAGCGAAAGGTAGACAACTTTTTTGTTTCAGATTACAATGTTTTTCTTCAGTCGTATTGTTTGTATTACATTGTTCTATATTTTTCAGCAACAACTGACAAAAGGCTACTTTATCATACTTGTAGAAACAAAGAACAAATGCCTGAAGTGTGTATTTGTTATCCAGATGCCACACAGATCATATGCCATTGTGTCTGCATGTGTGTATGTCCAAGCTGCCCAGATTTGCATGCATGTTCCTACTGCGTTTGCATACATTCTGTAGGCACACATACGGCAGCACTGTATTCCCCATGTGCTCAGGTTGTTTGCCCTCAATCCAGGTCCCAGCTGGTGGGGAGACGCTGGTTAGAGCGCTGCTTGTGCTGCACATTCAGCTCACAAACTAAACACGTGGAGAAACCTATGCAAGACACAAGTGCCTCAGCTACTGTAACACAGGACTAATTTGGGCTTGTTTTACAAACAGTGTGTATCTGTGTGAGTATCTGCTATGCAATGAACCACAAGGACCTGGATATGGAAAGTCATGATGTGACGTGACACATCAGCATCCTCCACGCAAATAAGTCAAACAGTCTTTGTGTGTACAATCATGCACAAAAACTTCTTTTTTGGACATTTTTGCTTTTTGTTGTTGTTTTTGATGATGATGATGATCCCAGTCCTTTGTAAGAAATTGATGTTGCTCCAGTGATATTCATCATACTGTTGCTTCTTCAAAAATAACTGCAATTGCATCTCTTTGCTATCTGCAGGGTCCAAGAGCATGTGTTGGCACTGAATACATATTTTATTTTTGTCCACTGTTTACCTATACATTGTTTCCCTCACCCAGCTCCGTCTCTCCCTCCCCATCTCAGTGTTTGCCTCACGACCCAATCAGCCGTTCCTTGTTTCTCTGTGTGTATGCACTGTATGTCTCTGGATAGCTGCCTAAGCAGTGACAGAGACATCACTACCCTGTGGCTCTGGCTTGTTAGCGCTATCTCTGGGCAGATCAACCTCATGAAGGACACATAGTAGGAGGCAGAAGGAGGAGGATGCCACTGCAGAGCAGAATAAGTTCCATCATGTTAGTGAGGTTACATGCTTTCTAGGGATTCACGCTGTCAGCAAAGCTTGAATTTACCTTTAAGAAGTATTGGAAGAGAATCGCTCTGCTATCATTTCATAATATAATTATTTATTTTGTTTAGTTGAATAAAAATGCTTGACATGTTTCATACACCTTGGATCTGAGGAAGCATGTGAAATAAAAGTTAGCAATTTCAGCTGCTTTCATAAGTCATCTTTTGGGTCTTTCGGATCAGAAGCTTGCAGAAGAAATGACATTTGTGATAAGTTGGGAACCGGCAGTTCACAGGTCAGTTTGTTCCCTCTGCTTTGGGCCATGAAAAATGCCAGCTGAGATCTGTGTCAAAGACTTCACATGGTAATCTGAAAGACCAAAAAAGAAAAGCTGAGTCACGATTCATCAGATCAACGTGGAATTTCCTAATCAGATAAGTAGAACGTAATGCTAAAAGACCGGGCCCTGCACTCCCTTCTCCTGTAAGGTTTAAGCTTCATCATCAGACATTTTAACAACTTGTTTGCATTGTGTTGCACAAGCACAGTCAGCTGAGATTCTCCCACAGCCAGCAACAAACAGAAATGAAAGGAAGTCTTTTGTATGATGTGCACTTTACTTTTAGACAGAACAAAAAAGGAGACAATGAGCGAGATTTTAGCAATTGCTCGCATGTTATAAAAGTGTGTTACTGTTAAATTACTCCAGTTATCAGTTATGTCTACTGGCTGTTAAGCTAATGGGGGGGTGATAATATGTAGGTTGCAAAATGGTCCAAAAATACTCCAGCTAGGGCATTTTTCAAAGGTACACAAGGTGAAACTTTGCTTTACATTTGGTCTGAACACACCATCACAGCTGTTTATAGCTTTCCTGTCCATGACACCTGTAAGGGGGGATTTTATAGCAGCCCTGTTTAAATTGTATTCAAATCGGTAAAACGTTTATTTAAGTTGTATTTCATTATAAGGGGTGTGGCCACTAAAGGTTGGCGTAGTTTCTTCGTCTTCAGCCTCCATCTTGTTCTACTGGAAGGGCTGTTCAGCTTTGTATACAGCCTGTTTATCATCTGCCAACGTTAGCATACCATCTAATATGTCAGTGAATTATGGATTCATCTTGTTATCTAACCAGTGCTAGTGTTAGCTGATACCTCCCCAGCTCTACAGTTTGTGCATATGGTCAAGTCTGGTTGAAAGAAAAGAGGAAGAAGATGAAAAGGATGGCAAAAACCTGAACCCAAGGCTTCAAAAACATAGTCCACAATCACGTGAATGATTTCACTATGACTGGAATCTTTGGATATTTAAGGATTTCTTAATTCATAAACTGTATCCAGAGGAAAGAAGCTGAAGAAGAGCAAGCTTACTGAACAAGAATGCACAGGTTTATCTGTCTTTCTCAAAGAAGCATGAGAAAGAGCTGGACTGTATAATTATATGTGTTTCTTTTGAAATCCTATTGGCTGTTATCAAAGATGATCAACTGTATGTGTGATAAATACAAAAACAGTATTATATCCATTTTCTTTTAACATCATGGAACACTGAATCTAATTAATATAGAAGTCAGTATGAGAACACTGTATGACTGTTGCCTCATCCTTTCTCCTTGTGTCTCTTCCTCACCTGCTTAATTTGTACCTATAGTAGGCGGGGCTAACCCTGACCTCAAAGCGCTTTATAAGTGTCGTGTGATTTCTAAATATTCACAAGCTTTGTGTTTGCATGGATTCCTGTAGCTTGCAGTGGACGATACCTAAACTGAGCTGCAATTTCCCAAGTTTGAATCTGGGTAGGGACATGTGTCATATCACAGCTTATTGTCTCCTTTCCATAATTTGTGCCT